CATGTGAAGTCTCCCTCCATTGAAGGTAATGGCTTTTGTTTCATTATAAATGGAAAGTTATAGTTTGAATATTAAATGTCCCCAACACACTCCTAAGCACTTGGTCCCCAGGTGATAGCTTGAGATTGTAGATTTAAGAGACAGAGCCTACCTAGAGGACATGAGTCACATGAGGCTTGTTTTTGAAAGCTATACTTGATCCCTGATGTGTTCTCTCTCTGCTTCCTGTCCACCATGAGGGGAAGACTGCTCTGCCACTTGCTCCCTACCATGGCTGAACTGAAACCTATGAGCAAAATTAATCTTCCCTCACTTAAATTGTTTTGCTCAAGTATTTTGCTCCAGCAACAAAAAGTTTGACTACCACAGAAAGCATGTCCTTTACAGTCATAATTTAGCTTGATTTCATCTTAATTTAAAACTTTTCTTTGGGTACCTTACTACAGTGAACTGGTTTTTCCTTCAGCGTTGTTAGTACTTGTAATCACTCCTATTCTGATACATGGGAGGCTAAATTAAGAACACTTGAGCTACAACACAAAAGTAAGACTCTCTATTTCCACAATTTGATTACTGTTAACATTGACATCAATCCTTAGATACAGTTCAGTGTGTTGAGCTCAGTGTGGTGACAAAGACAAGCTGAAGCTAGAAGACTATGAGTTCAAGACCACTCAGGGCAAGTTTCAGGGCAGTAACGGTTACAGAATGAGACCTTGTCTCAAAATAAACAAAATAAGATTAGTCTCTATCTATCCTTCTAAATGTCTATAAAATTAAAGCAACAATGTAATCTCACTAAATATATTCAACATATATTCTATACTACATTTGTATATTTTAATACTTTGCTTTTTCTGTAAAATATATAAGAGAGGTATAGAGGAAAAGAGACTAGCATATGTATTGTTATTTAATAGTTGTGTAGTTTCCATTAATTTGACATATCTCTTTATTAATGGAAATAGGAGAAATTTGGGTATTTTTATTTATTTTGTTACTATACCTGCTGCAATCAACAGTCTTGCATATTCATCTTTGCCTGTTTTAGAAAATATTTCTACAAGCTGGGCACTGGTGGCTCATGCCTATAATCCTAGTTACTCAGGAGGCTGAGATCTGAGGATCATGGTTCAAAGCCAGCCCAGGCAAGGAAAGTCCATGAGACTCTTAGCTCCAGTTAACCACCAGAAAACCAGAAGTGGTGCTGTGGCTCAAGTAGTAGAGTGCTAGCCTTGAGCTGAAGAGCTCAGGGACAGCGCCCAGGCCCAGATTTCAAGCCCCATGACTGACAAGAAAGAAAGAAAGAAAGAAAGAAAGAAAATGGAAAGGAAAAGAAAATATTTCTGCAAACTTCATTTATAAAACTGAAATTACTGTGCTAGAGTATATGCATATTCAGTATTTTAATAGGTATAATAAAATTGCTTGACAGAGTTCTCCTGAACAAGATCTTGCCCCTCTATTCCTTAATCTAACATTACTAATGAGTTTTTTTATTCTAATTCACTTGCAATTCTGGTAGCCAAGACAGATATTTTATTGCTCATACTTGTATATCTGGATTTTCTGATAAGAGCATTTTAGTAGTTTATTCTGAATTCAAGTATTGTATTCTATAACTTAACTACCCAGAGTTTTTGCCCATCTCTTCTTATTGATGATTAACCTTGTTGACTTGTACAATATATTTTTGCATCATAGATTTTAATCTTCAATATAAAATTCCAAAATTTTCACCAAATTTATTGCTTGCTTTCAATCATGTATTTTGAATACTATCCAAATGTTATTTACCTTACACTTGGACATAATGAAAAGATACATTACTAGAGAGTTATTGTCACTCATTTTTTGCAATTGAAATAAATGAATTAAAACATTGATCATATTCTACTAATCAGCCAGTTTGTTCTGAATTTTTAATGACTGTGGGTATGTGAGCACCTAATTATTTGTCCCTTATGATACTGCATTGAAAACTCATCAGTGTAAATTATATTAATTAAAACAAATTGTTTAATTTCCAAAACAATTATAAAATCTTCTACCAACTGAATCTATTTTCCTTGATGATACTCAACTTACATTTTCCTGATTTCTAGATTCAGATTGGGAAGGAGTGTATGTGATTTTCCTTTGCAAAACAAAAGAAGCTTAAGGCCCTTGGGCATTATGAAGCGCAGCCCAAATATCTAACAGGCCACTTGTTCCACCTGGAAAGAAAGCTCTAATCCTTTCATCAATAACCGTATTACAGCCCAATTACTTTAATTGGTATGGTGTTATTAATATTCTATTTTTTGTGTTGGGCCTGGGACTTGAACTCAAGGCCTTAACATCCTCACTGGGATTGTTCACTCAAGGCTGTCACACTACTTATTAACTATTACCTATGTGTGCACCCTCCTATTCAGCCTGTATTTCCATGAAAACACTTTATGACCTACCAATCACATACAATCATTAGTTAATCCAAACCATGACCACTAACAGTAGCTCATTTGCACATCTGACAAGCAATTTGATTCTGCTTTAATAATGATGACGTGTAGTATAAGAAGGCATTTCCAAGATCATCACACTCCTATTGTTCAAATGGGATTATAATATGAAATGATCCTCCTTATTCTCTCTGAGGAATTCTTTCCCCAGGTTCTTCTGAGCCTCCACTGCTCAAGACTAGCATCTCTACCTGAACTAGGACAATGATGATTACCTATAGACAATCACCCACTTAACCCACTAAAAGTCAGCTATTGAATAGTTTTGTTAGTTCCAGGAGTCCCAATTACTTCAGCTCACTATTTTTAATAGAAAGAAATAACAAACATAAACATAAGTCCCTTTAATGACAATTCTGTTAGGAATTTACTTTGTTGTACTTCTAAGATCTCAACCAAGAAACAGCCAGATCCTGAATATGGTTACTTAACAGCCATACTTTTCTGGATGCATGCTGGAATTTGATCAGCATCATAGTGAATGTTCTAGGAAAGAAAAAGAAACAAAAAGCATAAAAATAATAAAGAGGGAAAGAAATCAAATTCTTCATTTTCATAAGGTTCTATACTCAGAATAACCTGAAAACCTCACCAAAGAGTGTTCAAACTGATGAATGAATTCAATAACATTGCAGAAAATAAAACCAATATATCAAAACCACTTATATTTTTGCTGATTTTCTTTTTTATGATCTTTAAGTAATTCTACAAAGGAGTTTCTGTTTATGACTCCAATACATCTTGATCAATGCCACCCCTTCCAACATTCTCACACAGCTCTCCTGACCCACCCATTCCTTCACTCTTCTTAATTTTGTGGGATATACAATTTTGTAGGATATATGCATTCTCCTCCTCTTCTCCTCTTCATTTGTCTACCCCTTTCCACTTGACTTCACTCCACCCCTTTCAAGTACCCACTTCCTGGTGTTTATTTTGTTGAACTTTGGGATTTTTTGCTGGTCCTGGGGCGTGAACTCAGGGCCTGGACTCTAACCCTGAGCTTCGCTGTCCTCAAGGCTAGCGCTCTACGACTTGAGCCACAGCACCACTTCCAAGTTTTTCTGTTTATATGGTACTAAGGAATCAAACACAGATTTCATGCCTGCCAGGCAAGCACTCTACCACTAAGCCACATTCCTGGCCCCTATTTTGTTGGGCTTTGATTTTGCCTTTCTAAGGAATTATATTATTTGAGTTCTTTCTTGAGTCTACCATATTTTAGTTAATACATTAGGATACACTTGCATACCACCCAATGTATTGACTTATAAGTTTCTAAACTAAATCTAGCTTCACATATGAGGAAAATGTGCATCCTTGGTCTCTCTGAGCCTGGTTTATTTCACTTAACATAGTTTTCCCAAGTCTTTTGATTTATTTACAAATGGTGCAATATCATCCTTTCTAACGGATGAGTAAAATTCCATTGTGTATATCTACCACATTTTCTTGATCCATTTGTCCACTGAGGAGCATCTAGGCTGAAAAATACACTAATAATAAACTTGCTGAAAAGAAATAAAGCTATCTCATCTGTACTAGATAGATTTCCTTTAAACCTGGAAGTTAATATAACAAAGGAAACTAAAGACCTCTACAGTGAAAATTATAAACACTAGAGAAAGAAACTGAAGGAAAAAATAAAACAAATGGAAAGAGCTCCCACATTCAACAACAAAAGAATCAATAAAATTAGAATGTCCATACTAACAAAAGCAGATTACAGATTCAAGGTTGTTCCCACCAAAATTCTTCATGGAACTCTGAGAACAATGAAGAGGTCATTTGATGGAAACTAAAACAAACCAAAATCAGCATTATTTGATCATTCCCCCTCATCCCCAAATAAAACAAAGTTCTGTTGATGAGACAGGTTTCTGAATTCCCATGAGGAAATTTTTATTTGATTTTAACAACTTGATTTACTGATGCCAATTTTCATTGAAAGCAAAGTAGTAGCATAGTCTTTTAAGTCCTCCTCCATTAGAGAAGAAATAAAATCTTGATGGCATACATTAAAAAGAAGATTTTGAAATTATAGTAAGTGGGCAGGGGAATAACAAAGCAAAACAAGGCCTAGATAGAAGTTGCAATGGATAGTTCCCCATAGGTTAGCAAACTTTAAGAACAGCTAAACTAACAAATGCATTTGGCATGATTATTAAACAGAAAACATGGACAAATAAGTACATCCTACACATATAAACTTCTAATTAGCTTTTCAACCTTTGCAATTCAAAAACTTAGTGAACACGCAAGTATTTAAGAATGAGAATAATACTAAAACCAACCATTATTTACCAGTTACCCAATACATACGCTGCTCATATTTGCATCATTTGATTTACCATTCAAATTAACAATTAGTTATTATGGTTTTATTAACAACCTTGGTGAGAAGCAATCAGGAAACATTACTAAACTAAATAATTTAATTACATTATTTATCCAAACTTGGTATTACATTTCAAGATCAATGAAATTTGAAAGTAGCTATTTTTTCAACACAGTGTTCAGGGCCTTTCTGATGTCCTTATTCCTCAGTGTGTAAATTATGGGGTTTAGCATAGGGGTGACAACACTGTACAAAACTGAGATCAGCCTGTCTTTGGTTAATGAGTAAGATGAGATGGGCCGTACATATGTGAAGATGGAGCTACCATAATAGAGAAGGACAATGAGCAGGTGGGAGGCACATGTAGAAAAGGCTTTGCGTCTCCCCTCTGCAGAGCGGATCCTCAAGATGGTAGTGATGATGTAGAGGTAGGAAAGGATGATGCCCAGAAAGGGAGCCCATCCAATGAAGACTCCAATGAAGAGTAACACGAACTCATTGACAGAAGTGTCCCCACAAGACAAGACCAACAACGGTGGGATGTCACAGAAGAAATAGTTGATCTTGTTATTGCCACAGAAAGGCAGACGGAATGTCAGCACTGTGTGCACCACTGAGTTGAGCAAACCACCTGTCCAACACGAGGTGGCTAGCTGGCTGTACAGGGCCTTGTTCATGATGACTGAATAGCGTAAGGGTTTGCAGATTGCAATGTAACGGTCATAGGCCATTGCTGCCAGCAAAAGACACTCTACACCCACAAAGAAAAGGAATGCAAAAAGTTGAGTGACACAGCCCCCAAAGGAAATGCTTTTCTTCTCTGAGAGGAGATGCACCATCATCTGGGGCACATTGGTGGTGGTGTAGCAGATGTCTAGAAAAGCCAAGTTCCTCAGGAAAAAATACATGGGGGTATGTAGTCGAGAGTCCATCAGTGTCATCAAAATAATGAAGATATTTCCTCCAAGGGTACACAGATAGATCAAAAGAAAAGTAGCAAAGAGTAAAAATTGCAGGTTATTTAGATTGGAGAACCCCATGATGATAAAGGCAGAGAAAGAGGTTTGGTTTTCTCCTTCCATGATGTTTAATCTTGAAGACTAAGAAAAAAGCAGCATCAATTGTAGTATTCATGAGCTGCAACAGCAGTAATCTACAAAACAAGAGATATAGCTGTTATAAACAACATAATCCTTATCTATAATTTGGTCCATAGTAGGCCTTGTGTAATCCATGGCAACTCATGGTGGGGTCCACAAATAATCATAATTAGAAAAAAAACAGGTGGCAAGGGTGACGCAGATAAGATGCATTCTACTCATACATTGGCGTGTCGAATTGAAAGTCTCTTTGCAACTCTTTAAAGATAATAATACAAATTTAATGGATTAACAAATTAATAATTTTGACATCTCTTACAGAACACTTTTATATGGGACAATGAATACTGAAAAGTCTACATGTATCAGGGACTAAGGAGTGGTGACTCTCGCCCTCATCTCCATCATGTCTTGGAGATAGCTGATGAGGATTAAAATCAGGACTGCTATAGTCAGTGTAAGAATCATGAACTTATTTGAGATTTTTCTCATGAAGGTCTTGTTCTTCTTGCACTCTTATTGATTTCTTTTTATATTTTAATGTACAGAATTAGATCTTAAGATGTTGAAGGAAAAGCAAATTGTTTGAAAAGCAATGTCATAAGAGAATAGGGACCCAAACCTTTTGACAGACTTGTCCAATAAATGCAGGGCCACAGGTGCTTGCTGTGGGCCACAGACCTGCAATGCATGATTCTTACGTTGGCAATGAGGAAACTCTCCAAGGGGTTGTTTGCTGAAAGAATGCTTAAGAACAGAGAAAAAATCAAGACAAAACAATGCCTCAAACCTGCCATCTTAGCTACTTAAAAGGCAGAGATTAGGAGATCCAAGTTCAAGGCTAGCCCAGGCAAAAGACATTTGTAAGATTCCATCTGAGTACAGTGACGCACTTCTGTTCTCCCAGCTACAGGAGAAGCACAATGGTGGGTACAATGTCCTGTGCCTGTCATCTGTAGCAATCTGGGAAAACACAATTAGGAAGACTTCAGCCCAAACTGGCTCAGGCCTAAAGAAAGACCCTACCTTAAAAACAGTCAATGAAAAATGAGCCGGAGGCATGTCTCAAGTAGTAGAGAGCCTGTTAGCAATGCAAGGTCTTGAGCTCAATCCCAAGCACAAGAATAAGAAAAGGAAAAAGAAGAAGAAGGAGGAGGAGGAGGAGAAGGAAGGGGAGGAGGGGGAAGAGAAGGAGAAGGAAGGGGAGGTGGCGGCGGAGGAGGAGGAGGAGCAGGAGGAGGAGGAGGAGGAAGGGGAG